CGTCCCCGGGCCCTTCCCCGACCCGTCCCCGCCTCCTCACGCCCGGTTCCCCACAGGACCCACGTACGCGGCCGCCGCCAAGATGAAGGTGGTGGAGGAGCCCAACACGTTCGGGTGAGCAGCTTTGCATGGAGCCGCGGGCCGGGCTGAGGGGCGACCCAGGCCCGGTTTCTTCCTGACCCTGCCAATTCCCGCAGGCTCAACAACCCGTTCCTGCCCCAGACCAGTCGCCTGCAGCCCAAGAGGGACCCTTCCCCCGTGTCTGGTGAGTGCCGCTCCGGCCGCTGACGTGGTGGTGGGCAGCGGGGAGCAGGGAACTGGCCTGGATTCCGGGGGACCGGGTCAGCGCTAGGGAGCTGGCTCCAGGGGGGCCAGGTAGGGACGGACGGCGTCGGATGAGGGGCCCTGGGAGTTCGGGCTTAGAGGCTCATGCATTGGTTTGTCAGCCTTTTAAAATTATTTTTGAGTGCGTGACATTTCAGAACATTCTTGTACCAAGTTAAATAGTTGCCCCCGAACTTAGTGCTTTATTTCCTTCTCTAGAGGTGACTTCTGTTAATAGTTTGGTGTCTGTCTTTCCAGACGACTTTTATGCTTTTTCATGCATAAGTATACAAGAAAGAAACGTGTAGTACTTTTTTTGTGATCTTTACATTGTGTCTTTTTAAAAAATAGTACCACTATATGTATAAGTTTGTGCATTTACTGTTGTCATTCACTGTGTGTCTTGTATTCTTCATGGTGGTGGATGTAGGTCTTCATTCTTTTCACTTGATGCTTGGTATTCCATAGGATGGCTCTGCATTCCGCTATTATTAAGCAACCAGGGGCCCAGTGCGTGAAATTCGTGCACTGGTAGGGTTTCTAGAAGCCACCTCCACCAGCCGGACCTCCCTCCCTTCCCCTGCTGGCCTCGCCCCCTGGTCAACTCCCGGTGGAACTCCCCGTGGAGGGGACAATTTGCATACTATGCTTTTATTATATAGGATATGTTGTTTACATTTTTTGGCCATTAGAAACAATGCTGTGAAGAACATACCTGGTAGGGACTGCCTCTTTATAAGTCATGTGACAGGATCCCAGATGTGGTTAGGTTGATAAGTGAGTATTTTTTAAAAATATATTTTATTGATTTTTTACAGAGAGGAAGGGAGAGGGATAGAGTTAGAAACATTGATGAGAGAGAAACATGGATCAGCTGCTTCCTGTACACCGCCCCCACTGGGGATGTGCCTGCAACCAAGGTACATCCCCTTGACTGGAATCGAACCTGGGACCCTTCAGTCCGCAGGCTGACGCTCTATCCACTGAGCCAAACTGGTCAGGGCGATAAGTGAGTATTAAATATGAGAAACAAATTGCAATAATTTTTTAATTGAATACTATGTGTGTTAGGGTCTGTGCTGAGGATACAGAAAGAACAAAACGTACAATACTTGTCCTCATGGACTGGAGAATTTAATGGGGTGTAGGCAATAAACAAAGAAGTAAATGAAGTGTAGAATGTTTGATGCTTTGTAGGTGTGATAAGCAGAGTGTGTGCGTGTGTGGGGGGAGTGTTTTATTTATTTATTAGAAAAACAAGCAATAACATATTGACCACAGCAAAAACACACTTAGGACATTGAAACAAGGAAGAGCATAGAACATGGGTAGGGGACGTACGGTGGCTTTGTAGTACAACTTGATATCTGGTATTGTGATCCTTCTAACTTTGTTCTTTTTTCTCAAGATTGTTGCAGCCATTTGGGTCTGTTTTGGTTCCATATACATTTTTGGAGTATTTGTTCTAGATCTGTGAAATATGCCCTTGGTAATTTAATAAGGATTGCATTGAATCTGTAGATTGCTTTGGGTAGTATGGACATTTTAATAATGTTAATTCTACCAATCCATGAGCACGGTATATTCTTCCACTTGTTTATATCTTTCTCTGTCTCTTTTTTCAACATCCTATAGTTTTCCGAGTACAAGTCTTTTACCTCCTTGATTAAGTTTATTCCTAAGTATCTTAATTTTTTTGTTGCAGTGGTAATTAGGATTGTTGAATTTCTCTTTCTGACAATTCATTATTGGTGTATAAAAATGCCATAGATTTTTTGGGTGTTAATTTTGTATCCTGCTACACTGCTGGATTCATTTATTAAATCTAGTTTTTTGGTGGAGTCTTTAGGGTTTTCTGTGTACAATATCATGTCATCTGCAAATGAGAGTTTTACTTTCCAATTTGGATTCCTTTTATGTTTTCTTCTTGTCCGATCACTGTGGCTAGCACTTCCAGTACCGTTGGGATTTGGATATGGATTACATTGAATAACTAGGTCACTTTTGGTAGTTGAGATCTTAATATTAAATCTTTTTATCCATAGACACAGGAAATCTTTCTATTTATGTATGTCTTTAATTTCAGCAGTAACTTGTAGTTTTCAGTAGATAAGTGTTGTGCCTCCTTGAATAAATTTATTCCTAAATGTTCTTCTATTCGATGTTATTGTAAATGGAAATATTTTCTTAAATTTCTTTTTTTGGATTGTTCATTGTTAGTGTAATAGAAACACACTGGGTTTTGAGCATCAATTTTATATCCTGCAACTTTGCTGAATTTATTTGCTGTAGCAGATTTTTGTAGGGTTTTCTACATTTATAAATATGCCACCTGCAAACATGACAAAATTATTTTACTTCTTCCTCTCCAATTCATCCTTTTATTATTATTCCTACTACTACTACTACTACTACTACTACTACTATTACTACTACTACTACTACTATTTACTACTAGCCTAATTGCTCTGGCTAGAACTTTCAGTATGAAGTTGAATAGTGAATAGCAGTGCTGTGAGCATCCTTGTCTTGTTTCTGATCTTGGGGGATGCTTTCAGTTTTTCACCATTGAGTATGATGTTAGTTATGGATTGTGCATAGATGCCGTTATTATGTTAAAGAAGCCTCCTTGTCTTCCTCATTTGTTGAGTTTTTTATGGTGAAACTTGAATTTTGTCAGGTGCTTCTAGAACAGTTGAGATGATCCTATGATTATCCCCCCTTTCTGTTAGTGGGTATACTATTAGTTGATTGGTTTTTGTCTTTTGGACCATCCTTACATTCTAGGAGTAAACCCTACTTGGTCATGGCATAGAGTCCAATGTGTTATTGAATTCAGTTTGCTAGTATTTTGTTGGGGGGAGGGGTTACATTAATATTCATAAGAGATGTTGATCTGTAGTTCTCTTTTCTTGAAATGTGTCTTTCTGGCTTTGTTGTCAGGGGAATGCGGCCTTAGAAAATTGAGTCAGGAAGTATTTCTCCCCTTTAGTTTTTTGGGAAGAATTTGAGAAGAATTGATAATTGTGTGTGAATTGTCCAGTTCATCTAGGTCAGTGATGGCGAACCTATGACATGCGTGTCAGAGGTGACATGCGAACTCATTTTTTTGGTTGATTTTTCTTTGTTAAATGGCGTTTAAATATATAAAATAAATATCAAAAATATAAGTCTTTGTTTTACTATGGTTGCAAATATCAAAATATTTCTATATGTGACACGGCACCAGAGTTAAGTTAGGGTTTACAAAATGCTGACACGCCGAGCTCAAAAGGTCCGCCATCACTGATCTAGGTTATCAATCTGTTGGTTATCAAGTTGTTCATAGTATTCTTATAATCCTTTTTATTTCTGTAAAATTGATAGTAATGACTCTCCTTTTATTTCTGATTTTAATAATTTGAGTAATCTTTTTTTCTTAAACAGTCTAGCTAAAGATTTGTTGATTTCTGTTGAACCAACTTGATTTCAAGAACCAACTTTTGGTTTTACTGATAAATTTCCTCTTTCTTCCTGCTGCTTTGGGTTTAATATGCTCTTTTTCTGACATATTAAAATGTAGGTTATTGATTTGAAATCTTGTTTTTTGAATTTTTTTATATATATACTTTTATTTATTTACTAGAGGCCCAGTGCACGAATTCGTGTACGGGTGGGGTTCCTCAGCCTGGCTGACTATCGGTGCTGATCAGGGCTGCAGGAGGTTGGCTGGTAGGGTGGAGGGGCCGTGGGAGGTTTGCTGGCCACGGGGAGGGGCTGTGGGAGGTTGGCTGGCCACCGGGAGGGGCTGTGGGAGGTTGGCTGGCCATGGGGAGGGGCCGTGGGAGGTTGGCTGTGGGAGTGTCTGCCCCCTGGTTGTCAGTGTGCATAATAGTGACCGGTCCTTCGGTTGCTTAGGCTTTTATGTATATAGCTTTATTTATTTATTTTAATCCTAACTCAAGGATATTTTTTCCATTGACTTTTAGAGAGAATGGAAGGGAGAGGG